CACCCGGCAAGCGTTACCGGCTTCATCGGGGCATATTTTGCGGCTACGGCCGAAAAACGGCAGCTGATCAAAGTACTAACGAGTACCGAAGCTATCCTGGGAAATTTTGAAAACTGTATCTACCAATTTGTAGCACAACAGGGGTTCGCTATTCCACTCTCTCACATCTTCTCGTAGGTTAATTTATAATCACATATTTTGCACATTTTCCAATACACATCCTTTTCAGAGTCGTATGATTCGTCGCCATAAACATGATCGTGTGCTCTACCAGAACCACTTCTTGCCATTCTTGGCCCACGTACCTGCAAGCAGTCCACTGCCAAATACGGCTCACTTTTTCAGACGAATGAGTTTCAAGTAACTGACAAGGTCCAATTATAACTGACGAGGCCCAATTTGTGTCCGACGAGGTCCAATTGTGGTAATGGTAAGAAATGTGTATTTCCACTGCAACCGTCACACTGACGAGGTCCAGTTGCAGCACTGAATAGGAATGTATGCAGCTTGATGAACCGAAACATTCCTATTCAGATTTTAATCTTAACTTATTCACATTTCCTTTTTTATTTCCTTACATCTTACATAAACACATACCAACTAAAATTTAAATTAGAATACGATTCTTAATGGACCGAAACATTTCTTACATTAAAAATAATTCTCAATACATTTCAAATTTTATTAATTTCTTCTTTTCTAAGCTAAAATACTTCATTATTTAAAATAAAATGTACCAAATGTGGGGCACTGGAGTGATATCAATTCTATAACTACAAATGATGTTTGACTTATTATTTCACTGATAATAGGAAAGCAAGTATGCGTCTACGAAAAAACTGATTCTATATCCAGGAAGGTCACCCCCCGCCCCTCCCGCTTTCCCACGTATTTAATTTTTGTTGATACAGAGAACTCTCTGAACTGTCTTGACTGCAATCTGCGCAAACAGCCATCTTCTACTAGCAAGGATATAACAAAGGTATTGGTAGGTCATCAGCCAACTTCAGCTATTTGAGCATTTCGAGAAGTGGCTTGATTTGGGAGTTGAAAAACCGCATGTTCATACGCTCATCGCTGCACTTGCGCCGGAGCTTGCTTGGTTGCCGAGTTGAAATACCCGGACAGACGAACACAAACACACATACACAAACATACACGTACACACACAGACAGGGTCGTTGTAATATGTGTTTTTGCAATTTGCATATGAACTGACCTGCTGCCTCATCTCCTTGATTTTCTTCTCAAAGCGTTTCTCCAACAGCGTTTCCTTTTGCGCCGCCCGTGCTTCCTTCACTTTTTCAAATTCCTCTTTCGAGCCATAAACATCCAAGCATCGCTGCTCCACCTGCAAACGTCTCCCTCTAGAATTTTTATAGCTCGGACATTACGGAAATTTACCAACTGTGCTCAAAAAAACGATGAAAATGTCGCCACAAATGAGAGTTGGGTGTGAGGGAGGGGGGGGAGGGGCGGGCGGTAGGGGGAAAAGAAGGGGAAAGGGGAACCCGCATACAAAAAAAGCAATACGAACACAAGCTGAAGCCCTTTCAAAAACGCCAAAAGATGAAAGAAAACACAAAAGTCAGTCCAAAAAAAAGACAAATGCATGTTAAAATAGGCCAAAAGTATTCAATTTGCACACCAAATTTGGTTCTGGCCATAGCATGTACACT